GGTGGGAATTGGACCAAACCAACCTTCAAAAGCTCACATGCCCGAGGGTGACCGGAGAGTTGTTGACACTTCAAATTGATCGATTCATTATTGCAGTGATATACGCTATCATTTCAATCGTATGATACCGAAGACTAAGATAACCCTCCGTAAATATTAACCCGAACGAAAAACAAACCTTTCGAAACTAAAGTATTTACTTCCTTATGTCAGTAGAAAGTTTTTATCTCATAAATGGGTCACATTTCTAAATGAACCGTGATGCTGTATCGATGGAGGGTATAACAATAGGCTTACAAGACCTTTACGGTGGTAGATTTACATTATTATACATTATCTTACGTCACACCTACAGACAATAGACTTTCAATTAAAATCGAAGCAAACGGCTACGTTTGGAGGCATCTTTATTCATTTTCTCAAGGATACAGCGTGTTCTCGTCATGGTTAGACATTGTATTGCGTACGGGGGCAACAGTCCATTCAGTGAATCGGCAACTGACGAGGTCCACAAGATTAGGATCGAAACCGCGGTCTTGCCAAACACGTTCAACTATCAAACTAGAGGCGAACAAAACGCATATAAAAAACCTCTCAAATAAAGAACTTACAAACGACCAGATTCATTTACTGGTAAAAGTGCTTAAATTCATTCCAACACCCGCTACAAAACAAAAACAGATCAGACAACAACTATTGTGTGACTTTGATCAGTTCGCAAGGAGAATGCGTCTGATTTACATATTCCGAGGGGAGGACAAAAAAACCCATCCCTGTCACGTCAAATCTACATGGATACCATCCATACAAAAATCAGTAGCCCTTGAAAGCTATTTAGAAGAGGTTAAAAGTGACCGTTCAGAAAAAGAAATTACAAAGCCAAAAGATAATTTGCTTCCGGCCGAACGCAAGGCGTTGAGGGCCTTGAAACGTGACTCTGAGTTAACCCTTAAAAAAGGCCGACAAAGAAACAACAACCGTAGTCATGAACAAACGTGACAAAATTTTGCCGTTCCCTTCCGAAATGACAGTCATTCTTTCAATCTTCCCTTCGTGATGCCAGGACTAAGAATTTAACCTTTTCCTCGGCAGAAAAAAACGCAGATTCCAGAGTTATATGGTCAGACATGGAGTGTTTCTGGTCAGTTTCTCGAGAAACGTTGACCCGATAGCCTCGTCCTGAAACTGCAACTCCGCGGACACATTGCATCGCAGACACAAATGCGATAAGGGCTATTATATCAACTCAAGTGATGAACTAAATTATCTTTTTTCTATCTTAGTTCTGTTATGTTAATTGTCAAGGAACTCACTCCATAAAAAGTTTATATATAGTAATCGGAGTGTATATATCTAATTCTAGCAAGTTTATATCCATGGTTAGTCGTTATATAAATTTGCACTGCAAAAAGTTTCCAGTCTCTCCTTCTCAAACGTTTTTCCGTGAATATTGGTGGGGTAGTTATGTAACTCGGCAAGTACCGATAGAATAGAAATCCAGAATCATAAATGGAAACTTTCAAGAAATACATAAAGAAGAGAGCTGTGCGGCAGTGGTCAGATAATCACAGTGCGCTCATCACAGTTGTTAAACATCTGCCAATCACAGCAGAGCGCTATGCTTTTTATTAAAACATATAACTGGTCGACCTTATCTCTTGAAGAAAGCTTACATGCAGTCGAAACGTCGCTATCCACATTGAAAGAACCTACACTGAGAGTCAAAAGATAAATAATTAATGATAATTATTGTCTTCCACCACCATAAATTAAAGTATCTTTAACGACGAGAATTCACAATAACGAACTTTTTTTTCTTTCTATCCACCCCCTTGTGCTTGAGGAAGCCGTTGGAGATTGTTATTCGCGCAGTTTACATGGCCTGGGAACAGACTGACATCTGGTCCGCCCAAGCCAGTGTGCATTACATCGTCTGCGAGGATGTTTTGCAGCTCGTTAAGGGTTATCTGCTCTGTAAACTGGTGGTTCAGGTCGTTATTTCCAAACACCGCAAAGCTCTCTGAATATCCATTGGGAGCCACACAACAACCAGCGGTCCACATGGAATTAGGAATAAAAATCGATGGGTAATTTTGGGCTGGAGGTAGTTGGTTAGGTTGTACCGAGTTGGACTGCAATTGATTGTTGACCACATGAGCACGAGCAAAAGAGGTGCCAGTTAAAAGAAATAGCACTCCGTTGTTCGGCACACAGGTGTTTTGAGCGTAATTCCGTATTCTCGCTTCAAACTGGGCCCACAGACCGCGGTTAAAAGCTCCAACTTGTGGAACTGCGTTGGTGTGTTTGTAAGTTGAATGTAAGCGCGCGTCAGAGCTCGAGTAAGTCTGCGCTGGGACTAAGTGACCTCTATCGTACTGTTGATTCCGGTAAATGGCGTCGCTGCCTTGAATCAGTATACCTAAAAGAGTAAGTCGCGAAGTTAATAAGATTTAGCATAAATAACATTAGTAACGATCGTGCTACGGGAACATGACAAATATTAGAATACTTGTGCAATTTTGTAGTCTGAACGCATGTTTGGGCTAATCCAAGTCGCCTGATGAAGAGCATTTTGTGGATTAGAGGTTCAAATATTCTATTTACATTGCTTAAGACTATGAATTATCCTAAAATATCTCAAAGGATTTTGTGGTTTTTGCCTGATTAATTGTTTTCCAGTGTATTTGCTCGACCAACTTAACTATGTAATTTGGATATATCAACAAAGTTGAAATGGTAAATTGGCCACCGTAACGATTACAAAAGCTGACGTTTCGAGCGTTAGCCCTTCGTCGGAGCTTAACTATGGTTCGAGGAAAGTCTTTCGAGGGTCTTTCGAGAGGGAGAAAAAAGAAAAATTTTTATTGAAGAACACTTTCTTCATCTTCATAGACCACTTTCATAAATGGCTGCCGGATTAATATTCTTTTGTTTAAATTTAAATTTGCCTGGGTGGCCTCGCTTGAGATAATGTATTCTTTTGAATTTTGTACTGGAGAACGAGGCCACCTAGGCAAATTTAAATTTAAACAAAAGAATATTAATCCGGCAGCCATTTATGAAAGTGGTCTATGTTGGAACTGAAATAGCATTTTTATGAAATGAGTTTGCGTGCAGGTATCATTGCATTCGGTGTTCTGGAGTTATGTTTATCATATAGCTGGCAGCGCCCGAGGGCAAGACGAAGCGAATCCTGTGTTCTGATTGGCTACCCGAGCAGGCAAGATGGGCCCATCGTGCCCGCTAGGGACTGCCCGATCTGATCCCGTGCAAGAGAAAAGATACGTGGAACAAACTTGCATAGTACGTAACTTTTCGACAATGTCGGCGATGAAGTCGTTAAAAGCGACGGAAGAGATTTAGAACAACGAAAAAATTGAACGAGCCTCTTAGGTACACTGTGCTTAGGACATGGTTAGTTTTCTTTCCCGGCTCTCGAAATAAACAAGTCATTCTTGATTCTTAACAAAGCAAGATATTTTTAACACATAATGAATCCTTAATTGACCAAGCTTGTTCGGTTGAGATGGCTTAATGTTAGCCTCGGTTTTTTTGCGTTTTAATGAACCTCGACTTCATCTCGGTCCATAAAAAAGTAACAAAAAAAAAGAAATCGGCCAATATCCAGCCATTTTCACCTCACGCTTGGTCACGGTAACCCATATTTATTTTCCTTCCATCCCTACCTGGTTCTCTCCTCCATCCTGTCGCCCCATGCGCCTGACCAAAGAGAATTGTTCCCTGATCTAACTTGTACCCAGCATACACCGCAATTCCCAGGTTTTCATCGAACATGGTGGCGTAAAAGACATCGTGACTGTCTGCTATTTGTTGACAGATGTACTTTATGTTGTGTAGACTCTTGCGGAGACCTGTTGGTGGCAGGTTATTTATAAAAAATTGTCTGAAGCAAGCCTCGTAAGGGTCGTGAACAGATCTCCGAAGCCGTTTTAACTGATTTTCCTCTTTTGTAGTATTGCTTCTGAAGACTTCACCACCACTTGCACCTGGAAAAGTAAGATAGAGGCAAACTTGTGAATAACATGACACTCGCAAAGAGGCAAATATTTATACCACTCAGTCACTGTCAATTGTTCATGCACTAAAGAGTGTTTTCGATCGTATTGTGAGGAGCTGAATACTAAGTTTTCCCCTTGACCAAATTCAGAGTTCCATCAAACAGCAGAGAATTGACAAACATGAATTTTCACCCACCCTAACAAATAAAGTTTATAATTTTGCTTTTACTTATTGAACGAAACTAGAAGAGCAATTTCTTTCCCGGTAACTTTCAGTCAATTTCCTACTTCTCCTTCGCCCATTATATTACCTCATTCAATGGCAGAGCTTAGGTTTTACTTCCTTTCGCAGCCGATCTCCGAGATCGATTGTAGCAGTGTACAAGATGCTTTTTACATTTGAAACTCGCGGGATTCTTGGCCACATGATCACCAACGAATCCACTATGACTTAGTAAAGTATCCGACACGAAATCGGAAGGTCGAATTTGCTTATTGTCAGGAACATCCTTGATTTGCCTTTGTCCTATGCTTATGACGGCTTAATTCCTTCGTAAACCATCATAAATACCATCAAGTGTAACATGGCTGAAAGTCGATCAACACTTTGTCGATCACCTCAAATTCGGGTGGCCAGCTCCGCTTAATTAGGCGTATTTTGTGACGGTCTTTCAAGCTTTATTTTAAACTTGTAATAAAGTTCGGATATAACGTGCACTGTCATCGGTTGAAAGAGCGTGTTCTATTAGCGAACAACACACGGAGCTGAGCTAAAGCTGTTACACCATCTTCCAATTTCTACTATGTTTGACCGTTTCCCGGACTTCTCTCTGGGTTTTTTTCGCCAATTGACAGTGAAATTTCGGATCAAGCAAGATCGCAAGCAACAACAGAAGAACGAGACAAAGGTCTATAGACATGCCAAACGCCAAAATTTGCATTATTACAACTTGAGCAGAGACGAAAATCCTTAAAGACCTCAAAGAAAAAACGAAATGGAAAGTCCAAGTTTCAAGGGTTTTAACGTTTAGTTAGATTATAAACTTACCTTCGGTAATTAAAATCCCAGCTAACAGTTGTGATAGCATGCATAGTTTCGTGTTCAAATACAAAACATAACAAAACAGGAACGATGAAAACTATAACCAAACTGGCACAACTGTTGAAATTACTCTTCTTTTGTACTCTCGCCGCTTCCTACGTGCGTTACAACAGAACATAGCACATCCAAGGCTTCTCCACTTTGTCAAATAGATTCATACTGACATAAGATCAGTAAAAATTGAATGCGAGGTTGTTGTGTCAGTGATAAAGTTTTGATACGGGGCTGTAGCCGAATGAAACCCACTATAATTTTGGTGGTGAAAACAAGCGAGTCTTAAGAATCTAAATGGCCTAAATGTTTTCAAGTGGTAGACACTCAATTTACCGGTCCTCCGCGTGTGAGTAGAGCCTGCTGATACACAATTACTGAAATTGATTTTTAGAATTTCTATGAAAGAAATTAACCATGACAATGGCCAAATTTTTCATCGTTGGCCGTAAACGCCATCACCTTCGCCGTCTCGATATTTACGTTTTCGGTGCATTTGTGCACAAGCTTATGACCTAGAAGCGTTTAATTATCTCTATACTGTCCAAAAAATAAAAAAAAACTGGGTTTAATAGGCGATCAATCAGAAGGAAGGGTGCAATTTTTGTCTAAATATGGAATTAGAGATCCAAGCAGTGTTTTCCTTCATAAAAACTCACAACTGGTTGAAAAGAGGCATTGAAAAGCTTACAACAATGAAAGATTAATCTAAAAACTTTTTTGAGAAGCACTGGATAAGCCATGGTAATTGATTTCCCTCAAAGGAGACTGATAATATTTTCTAAAAAAAAAATACTTGGACTCAGCACTTAGATCAGTAGCGGTCGCTGATAGTGTGGCTGTTGCATCAAGAGGATTGATTTGACGATGTTAAATCCCCGATGGAAGGGACTTCCACGAGTAAAAAGCCTCCGACATTTCAATCCATCTATATATTTTCAAGGTAGCAGGAAGGGAAAACTATGAACGGCGAACTTTCAATTTACTTTGAGTTTTCTGGAGTTGTTAAAGTTAACTAAACTAAGGTTTATGAAATTTTCAAGAATTGATTTACTTTGTAACTTCTGTTGGACGCATGATTTCAGGCTGACTGATGGTAATGTCTAAACTTCAGGCATAACGCCACACAAAATTAAGTTGATGAGTGAGAAAGTTGTTAAAATGTGGCCAATTACGTTAGTTGCAACAAAATTTAAAGTTGTGGTTTATCAACTTTACGTTACACAAAAGTTTTTCTCTAAAGACAAACGTTGTAGTTTATTTGAATAAAGTGTTTTTAGCCTCGAGGTAAACTAGATTTCGTGCCAAATTTAATTCACAGTTTGCATGTTGTCGGCTCGTTTAGGAGATCTAGACTTATTTGCGTAAATCGATCACCAGGAAAGGCTGTATCATTGTTTGTTTCAGTGTCTAGGTTTTATCTCGCATTTACTCTCTTGTGAGACTGAAAGGAAGTTGTCTCCAGCTTTTCAACAATTTAGGTAGAATTGTTCACACGAAAAATGAAGTTTCAGACCGATCCTAGTACGAAAACAAAGCTGCTTCAGGTCCGCCAGGTGTTATTAGATGAACTGTGTACCCTGAAAGATTGCAGAATGTGGCAGTATCCCAACGGCGAAAGTGATGAGTCTACGGCTTTACAAGGAGTGTAGTCTAAAATAGGCTCTGTTTGTTTTTTTCCTCAGTTTTGAGGTCGTTCTCGCACTCGCCCGCTTTGCACTCCCTTGCTTTATTATTAAAAGAAGGAAAGCCGCTTCCGGGCAGACTTACTTTTGCCTGTTACTACAAGAACTTTTACTTTTTTACTAATGAAGAACAAACAAACCAAAGAAACCGAGAAAAAAAAAACTGGAGTGAAATTAGTAGACACCTCAATAATATTTAGATATTTTCAGCATTGCAAAAACTGGTATAATGACTATAATAAAGTTAGCCTTTTATTCTTTTCAGGACAACCATGGGAGATCTCCTAGCTTTTAGTGAAATCAAAGCACTTGCAAGGGCGGAATAAAGAAAGTTTCCTCGCGTTTAAAGATTAAGAAAATGTTGCATTTTGAGGATGTGTGGTGAACATGTAACTTTCTATTTTCATAAAACCCCACAAGAGAAAGGCCTGGTACCTTTCTATCCCAGAAAGCCAAAGGAGACATCAAAACAAGGAAAATGGCGGCCAAATTCTGCAGTTACAGGGACTTGTATCTTTCGTGCTCTTCCTTTCTAAAATTGGGGTATTTAAAAATGGCCTGTTTGGCTTTTGAGCTCTATGAAAATACGAAGAGTTTCCCGGCTCGAGGAAAATTTGTGGGCTAACATATTCGACTGTTTACGAGCGATTTAGTTGAGCAAACTTCTGCAGATTGCATATCGATTTACGCAATTGCGAATCTTCACAAGGTTGTTCTCCCGACAAAAGAATTGTATCATCTAGTCGAAGCAGATTTTAAGAGTACGTATGGGAAAATAGCGTCAGAATTATGAGTTTACTCGTATACCCTGGGAAAAGGTAGGCTTGAATTTGAGTATTTCTTTTTAGTAGCGATGGAAGCTTTAACCGATGCAGGCTGCATTTAATTTCCAAGTACGCAGCGAAAGAATATCTCATTCTTAGAGAGCTATTTTGAAAAAACAATCTTTTCCCATACATTTTCTTTATACTGTTTCGGCGCTATTTTGCTTGTACCAAGAGAACCGCCTCCGCCATATTTTCCCAAATTTCTGGCAATGAATCTGATCTTCGATGCAAGTCGTGGAAAGTTATCATAAGTAGTCCAAAATTGAAAGAATTAAACTGCTATTGCTAATTGACAATGTCAACCAAGCTCTTGATTATTTCCAAAATAACTCAGACAAAAACGGGGATGAAAACCCACGACAATAAGGCACACAAAGCTAGATAATGATTAGCTTAATAAGAAAATAAGTAAACCAGAGACGCACACGATTAGCTTGCACTTATCTAGGGTTTAACTTTCATGGCATTCGCTCGTTTAATTAAAAGAAAACTGTCCGATGTTGATTCCTGGTGTTCGAACAGTTGATTAACAAGATTCGATTCGTAATACTCTATTCTGGCCTCGTTAAATTTTTTAGTTAAATATGGATTGGTACGTTTTCAGTCCACGTCCCCCTTAAAAGTTGGAGGGAGGGGGGGGCTACATCGATTTAAGTCGTCGTAAGTGTAAGTGTAAGACAATTAGTTTCTCTTGTAAAGAGGAAACAAGGTGTAGTTTGTCAACACAAGAATTCTCAGGGGTTTGCTTATATAAATGCTCGCAAAAACTCGAAAAAAATTATATTTAAGTCCTCGGTGCCAGAAGACAAAAAGAGAAAGTCACCGATAATGTAAGGTTTTTCACTCGTTAAAGTAGCCCCTTGGTTTCTGTGAACCCATGCAGTAATACAATCTCATAGATACATCAATTGTGAAATACAATTACTTTCCTCGTCTTAATCATTTATCACCTTTCTAAAGTGTTCCTAAGATTCTTAAAATTATGTTTTTTTGAACTCTTTTCAACTGTTTGAAGTGTTTTGAATGTTTCGTGTTTTAAAAATTGTTTTTGGTTTAGCAAAGACTTCACGCTCTGATATGAAATTTAAGTTTTTGAGAGAGATCTGATTTCAGTTCGTTTTCTGGCGAAGGTTAAGAAAAAGTTATGAAATGTCACCGGAGAGCAAAATCTGCTGAGTAACTACGGGTCCGGAATTTTTATTGAAATACCCGTTTAAAGAACATTTTTTAAGCAGGTAAACAGAAATTTAAATTCTTGCATAATTTATCGAAAATTATAATTATCATATTTCGTCTACAACCAACAAATTCT